TGATTGACAGAGAATGACATCCAATGTCAGTGCTAAAAGAGTGGAAAGAACGGGAATGATGAAAAGGAGGGGCTGATATGAGTGGAGACTTTCCTTTCGCCTAGACAGGCATTAGCATAAGTCATGCATCTCAGCAGAAGAGAGCAAGAGTCTTGAGTTTGATAGGCCAAGACAGTTTGGTTGACAGGTGAGGCTTCAGGTTTACTCGAACAGTGGCAGGGCTCACTGCAGGGGAGAGGAGAATCTGATGCAAAGTTTGCTAGTGGGTTCAAAAAATATACATAAGGAGTGTATATGATATACATTTGATTTGGTAAATAGGAGCATTTGACTATACACAGCCCCCAAATACATTCAAAGTCAAACTTGTGAGTGATTATTGAAGAGGTTTGCGTTTATAAATGGTCAGTGTTTGTCAAGGACAATGACTGCATGCACGAGCACACGCACACACACACACACACTCGCACGCAGGCACGCACGCACGCACGCACACACACACACACACACACACACAAAAAAGGTGCACCATCCACCCCTGTTGATTTCCTCCCCTGTACTATTGATTGCCTTTCTCCTCTTCCCCTGGTGTTCTCTCTAACAGCTCTTCTCACCGATCTATAGAGTAAATAAAGGCAATGCTGATAGAGAAGGAGGGAGGGAGGGAGGGAGGGAGGGAGGGAGGGAGAGAGAGAGAGAGAGAGAGAGAGAGAGAGAGAGAGAGAGAGAGAGCTTGCTTGCAATTCTGTTTGCTCTCAGACCAGTGAGGTGATTTCAAGGTTGATTGGGAACAACAAACTATCTGGAAGAACACTTTGGAACTGAGGAACTGCATGCTATCCTTGCCCTCAACACCCCTCCTTCCAGCACAAAAAGTGTGGGTGGGAGAGAGTTTATGAATTTTAAGATTTCCTTGAGTTTGGGCCTTTTTGCTACATGTTATTAAAGATGCATGGTTTAAGCCTTTGGTGGGTAATCAGGGGACTACGCAGGGTGCCTGTTTTCATCCTTTGTAGAAACATCTTTAACCTTGGCCAGGCCATGAAAAACATTTCAAAAGATAGCATTGCACTGAACATGAACACAAAAAAACTATCTTACCTTATAATATATAATTTTATGAATATGTATCTGTTGTCACTTTTCTCTACAGCACTGCAGACTGACCCTGTGGGCTTCCAGCATCATTCACTAATAGAGGCTCATTCATTGGTTTTACTTTTGTGTTTTTATTATTTTGTCAAACACATTCAAATCAATGAGGGTCAACTAAATAACAGGCACACCTCTTTGTATAATGCAATACAGTTCAACAGCACCACAAACTGCAGCCTCCAAAATGACTCAATTTAACAAAGTTTCACCAAACACCTCACACTGAAACCTTCATGAAGGCAGGATTCATTGCAGGACTGTTGCATGAGATTGCATTTGTTTTAGCTAGGTGTACCTAATAAACTGACGACTGAGTGTATCAGTAATTATTCTTTTCGGGTGCCGATATTTCTGTTTTATTTAAGTCATTTCTTAGAGTGATATAAATAAAAAATCTTATCCTGCCAAGATACTGGAGTGGAGGTGAAAGCAGATTGAAGGACAAATGATAAATATTTCTATCGTCTGAATATCAAATAGCTCAGCTCACACTGGATTTGTTGTATTTGTTATGGCTGAGACACCTCACGAGAAGGGCTTTGGGTCAGGTATGTGTGTGTTCCTGTTTTCGTGTATGTGTGTGTCAGACTTTTTCACCAAGGACAGACTTAATGCACTGTTAATTCACAGTCACACCATCTTCCTAACAAGACAGCACTTTGTTAATCTTTCAGCATGTTAAAATTATATATAGCAATTTCTCTGCAAATATGATAAAAGAAGAGACTGATTACAAAAAGCACATCTAAAAATGCATCTGAAAAGTTTTCAGAAAATTGTGAAATAGTACACTGAATGTAAGATTGGCCGTTTGTCTGCACAAAAATTTTTCTATTGGGATGTTATCAACACCTACTGGAATGTTAATGGTCTTGCACCACTTCTGATCTCACAGTCCACACCCAGCATACCATTCATTGAGTAGACTAATGTCTTCTAGCATTAGCTACATTTTCCACACTCAGCGTGTCCCACTGAATTTTATCTGTCCACCAATATCCAATCAAGTTTGTAAACGAGAAGATGAAAGTAGGACTAGAAAGTAAAAGATTACTTTACATTGGAATCTTTTGAGCCAAAGTGCTCTTATGTATTTAACTCCTGATGCTGGGTTAAAGAAAAACATTGTAATCAGCAGAAGACTTCAGACTGTGGCAAGTGTTGTCAGTTAATTTTTTTTATCAACTTTATCAAGAAAATATCAAATATGTTTTCATATAGGCTGGACACCATTAGGCAAGTATGCTTGCAGTAAGTGACCATTGAGTCTATTCTAGTTCCTAAGGTAAAAAAGGCAAAAATGTAAACTTTACAAGGACAGGGCCAACAGAGTAAATACATCAGGTGGTTAATAGGACAGAATGACAGATAGCAAACAGGGGTGATTATAGAAGCCTTGGCTGCCTTGTGGTGGAGTTGGCGCTTAGGGGGGGTTCAGTTACACCAAGACCCTGTTAAGAATTCACTGGCTGGGGGTTAGAGAGCGGTGAGGAGGGGGGACTTTGGGAAACGTAAACCTGTGGTCGATCAGTCACATTGGGTCGTGCAACTTGTGTGCTAGAAGGGTGAAGGAGGATGTGTGTCCAACTGACAGGACATGTGAGCATGTGCGCACACACACACACACACACACACACACACACACACACACACACACACCTGTAATCTCCCTTTCTGCCCTTGTGATGGTCCAACACCGAGACACCCGAAATCAACTAAAGTGGCGTTTTGGTTATTTTCTCCCTCTCTCTTTGGGCTTGATTCTCATTTTGGTGACTTGACACTGATTCTCCAGCAAGAGGGGTTTGCATGTGTGTTTGCCTGCCCTTGTGTGTACTTGTGTAAAGAGACGGGTGAGCTGAGGTGAGCCGATTCTATCAGGCTAAGTGTGACAGGCCAATCTGTGGCCACCCATTTGCTCTGACTGGGAGGATGTCCAGGGTGTTAATGGGTTTCTCCACACTCACACACACGCACGCACGCACGCGCACACACACACACACACACACATGCACACACACACACACACACACATGCACACACACACACACACACACACAGAAACACAGAAACACAAACACGGGGAGAGAGAAACACACATGCACTCACAAGCGTACCATATTCACACACAGTCACACTTACTTAAGATTTCATTGAAATTGCAAGCACATTCCAAGTGGCAACTATCTGCACGATGGCTACTCAGTGGTGACACATAATTTGTTTTTTACATTGATCCTTCTACTTCACCTCTGGACAAATTCTTTTTAAATTCACTGATCTGCTGGAATAAACCATATGGTTGGTTCATGTTCGGTATAGAGTACTACAGAGTGCTTAGAGCAAAAGTTCAGTACAAGAGATTGGGATGAACATAAAACTTCTAGACTGATGAATTATGTATATATGCGTGGGTGTGTGTGTGTGTGTGTGTGTGTCTATGTGTGACTTTGCCTACAACCTCTAGTTTGTGACCCATAACCCATCAGTGTGTCCTCTTTCGGTTAATGCACTTTCTACCCTGGAGACCTGAAACACATTCATCCTCTATTTCTCCTTCCTTCACTCTGTTTCACAAAAACTTACTGTTTTTTCACTATGACCCTTTGTAGATCTGTTAATTTATCACATTTCACCTTTCTTTTAACAGATCTTCTCGCTAAATTTGTTTCCATGACCAGCCTCAGAATTCACTAATCTCTCTTGTCTACTAATATGCTTCCCTAACTCTCTCGCTTTGTCATGTTCAATTTTACACATCTGTATGTCCCACCATCTCCGTCCCTGTCCACCTTCCTTTCCTTCCTCTCTGGGTTTGGGTTTGAGTTTTTATGCTCCTCTCACACTCAAGACTGCTTCTCTGCCCTCGCCATGTCCTCTCAGTGCCAGCAGGGATGAAGGTGCTAAATGTACTCAGTCTCACTCACTCGCTCTCTCTCTCTCTCACTCTCACTCACACACACACACACACACACACACACACACACACACACACAAACACTCTGTACCCAAGGGCTAGCAACAACACAAGAAACCAATTTTCAATTTACAGTGGAGTGGGAAATCTCCCTGCCCCCAGCTAGCACTATCTCCCACTCCAATCTTGAGGGACAAGGGTTTGACAGCGGCTGGGATGTGTGAGAATTTGTGTGTGTGTGTGTGTGTGTGTGTGTGTGTGTGTTTGTGTGTGTGTGTGTCAAAGAGGGAAAAAAAATGACAGAAAGACAGACAAGCTAGGTAAAGCATGCAACATGTTAGGTAAAACAAAAAGAAAATTTGAGAAAGGGGACAGGTAAGGAAGGTAGAGAGTGAGTCAATTGTGCTTAACGAGATAATCTCTGAGATCTCATTCAGCAGTTTCCTACTATAACAGATGCTATCACTCTCCCCGTGTCAACGCCTGAAGATTGGAGTGGTGCCCATTAGAGCCCAGGCCGTGCCCGCCAGTGTCTGTGCTCTCACCAGGCTCTGGTTTCAGGGCTGGTAAACAATGCCAGTGGTTAGGTTTGGTAATGGATCTAAGGGGGACGCTGGAACAAGGCCGAGCCCCAGGAAAGCAATCTGAGACTTGGCCTGGGTTGATTAGAGGAGCCCCTGAATGCTCAAGGGCTGCAAGGGATGGAGTGCTGGGCATGGGCCCAGGCGTCATGGTGGTAGGGGAGCACAACAACCCAATCACAGCAACCCCCCAAACTGTCTGCTAAGTATGTTGGAGACTCAGTGAGTGAACTGGAAGAAAGAAATATATTGTTCGTATGTCTCAAGAATAAGAAAGAAGAGAAATAAGATTGTTTATGTATGTTTGTGAGTGAGTGTATATGTGAATTTAGGACAGTAGCACTTACATGTTATGCAGGACACACCAGCCACAGTGGGGATCTCCTGATCCAAGACATTCACTGCAGGTTGAGTATTGGCCACAGGCCTCCACTGGCACCCTTGACAGCTGCAGAGAGATATGCAACAACGATTAAAAACTGTGGAAGACATTCAGTCTTTGTGAATGGAGTGAGGATGAGCAAACATTTAATGGAAAACATTACCACAAGACAGAAAAATTGAAATGCCAGAGAAATGTCATGTTGAAAGAAATCTAGTGTTTATGTCTGTCATGGGAGGAACTTGAATGTGATGGAGAATATATCTGCATGCTTGCTTCTGATGTGTGTGTGTGTGTGTTTGAGAGAGAGAGAGAGAAAAAAAAGATGAATCAATGATAATAGATAAATTGATTAGGGGGCTCAAAATACTGTTTTCAAATACTTGCAAGCTTACAAACCCTCCTCAGGTTAGACAAGCATAATGAATTTCTATCCCATGTAAAACCATAATGCCTAACAGGTGATTCAAGAATTCAAAAACAAAAGCGTACAGGGAGCAGGAATTGTTGGATAATGGTTAATGTTTTGTGTTTCCTTACAAGTGCTGTATCTAATCTACTAGAAATGCAGTCAAGTACTTCAGACAATAGCATATATATATATATATATATATAGCAAAAGCCTGAACTTGTTGCAAACAGATACTACAAGGTAAAAGTATGTGTATGTATGTGTAAGTGGAAAGGTGAACAGTGATAGTTGCACCATTTATTCAAAACACAACATATCGTGTTGCTGCATTATTGTGTGCGACCTGAATGACCAAACATTTTTAACATCAATTTTTAGGATAGCAGTAAATTGTCTCTATTAAAAGTCACTGAGGACGTGATGGGAGATTCCTAATGTTCCTACATTTTGTAAGAATAGAAAAAAAAAGGCCTTCTGCTACACATGATTTAACCAGACAACAAAGTAAATCAACAAAATGTTATCTCTCGGTTTGACCACTATTACAGCCAAATACACATTAACTGCAAAAACAAAGGGACCAACCATACTAATGTGCAAAATGGGAATGCAAAGTATTTTGTATCAGCACAGATTTTCATAAAATTGTTACTGCTTGACAGTTTCCATCTTTCTCCACTGACTCCATAAGGGAAACGTGGCCACTTGGGATAGCAGTCTATCTTTTATGATATATAGGCCTGCCAATTCAAACTGGCATTGAGTGGCACTGATTGGCATGGGCCGTGAGTGACCAAGCGCAGGGGGCAAAGCTGAGGTAGATGTCAGCTATCCCCTCCTCATGTCACCATGGTAACAGCATGGTGCAAAAATAGGTGTTGCTGGCACTTTTGATTAATGTGCCGTCATTGGTGGATGACCGCTGTCACTCAGGCTGCTCACCGATGACAGCTGGGAAAGAGAGACGACATCATCAGTGTGGGACTGATATTGGGTGTGTGTGTGTGTGTGTGTTCGTATGTGTGCCTACAATAACTGGACTTTACTCCTGAAATATGAGTTTTTAGACGGAGCTCAGCTGGTTTTTGTAATCCAATTTAAACAGAGGAAACACCAAAAAGTTGTCTCTGTGTAAGAGTAACAATACATGTTTACTGATCATAACACTACTTACAAAACATTCTGATGAATGCTAGTCAAGTACAAGAATTAACAAGCTGATGATCACACATCAGTTCATAACTTTTTCAGTGACAAATCCATCCCCAGTTATTTCTTATGGAATCGAACAAAAGTAAACCCTGCAGGGAAATTCTGAAAAATTGTGTTAAATTTTTCCATCATCTTGTGGAATTCATGCGATGAGGAGAGAGCAAAGGGAGGCCCTGCCCAGTATCAGTATGGTGCTCCTGATAAAGTGTTTGCTAACTGTACATACAGAACCTTAAGTCAGAGGTCAGAGCATGGGATCAGCACCAGTAAAGCTTGGGGGAGATGGATGGATAATGGGAACTGAGGTAAGTTCACCTGACAGTGCACCACCTCCAGCAGATTCTGAGGATCAAATTCTTTTGCATACTAGTCTCTTTTTGTACCTCCGGACATAAGTGACGCAATTATACATCTCTTTGCAGCACATTTTACGGACTAAATTCCATATTTAAGGGTATGAAAAGGACCATAATTAAACCATCCAATGTAGGGCATGACTGATGTAACGAGAGATCAGAAATGCCTATGCGCAGTGGTATCTCTAAAGCACAGCCTGGCACTGACGGCACTTCTCTCTGTTGGACACAGACTATCACACAGTACATCTCTGCCTGACAGCCTCTCTCTCTCTCTCTCTCTCTCTCTCTCTCAAATAAAAACACACCAAGTCAATGCTACAATTTTGCACACGCTCACTGTGGAAGTCATATTTCGACTTGTGTGAACACAGATGCACAAGAACCACAAAGATGTACATATTGTCATTGAAGTCAGACTCTGACACAGTGGAGATACTCTGAAAACACACCACTACATCATTCTCTTTCTTGCTCTCTACATTTATGTGTCTTCCATGCATCTTCTCCTACAACTATAAATAGCATACTCCAGTAGTCATGTGCGCATGCACACACACACTGACACAGATTCACACACAGCTGAATGGATTCAGCTGAAGTGTATCTCCTTGCCAAAGTCAGGAGGAATCATGCATGCTATTACAGATTAGAAACAATAGAAGTGCATCTTTGTGTGTTAAGCATATGTGTGTGTGCTTTGGTAAAAAAAAATCTGCAGGTATGTTTTGCCCTCCCGACTGTGTACAGGCGTATTTGCATTAGGTAGATAAAGGGAATGAGTTTGAGATGGAATCACAGAGATAGTGGTGCAAGTGTGTGAGCACATGATCAAACTCAATGATCCTCATTGCATCTCACATGATAGATTCCCTCCCTTCCTGTCACTCTCCACTGAGCCTGTTCCTCCTCCTCAGATCCACCACTGCCTCAGCCCACTGCCGGCTAAATAACCTATTAGTCACTGAAGAGAAAAGCCATTGTATTAGCCTATGGAGGGATTTCAGCTGCCAAAGTCTTATCATGAGAGTCTATGAAACCACAATCTCCCTGTGTGCACGTGTGTGTGCGTTTATGTAATCTACGTAACCATGTCACCACATCGAGTGGTTTGTCACCTTGTGATCTGCCATAAAAGCTAAGCACCCAAACAGAACTGTAGCAAACAATGCCACCATATCTGAACGCTTTATAATTTAACACTTCATCGGTGGAAGATATGCCAGTACACACACACCACCCACATGTACACACATACTGTATACAAAAACACACTCGGATTTAGACTTTGTAGAATGGAAGGGACCTCCTGATGCCTATCGAGGCCTCAGATGCCTGCATCTGGGGAAATGGTTTTCTCAACAGATAAAAACGCACACGCACAAAGACAAACACACACCACATTCAGAGCCTTGCAGAAGCGATGGGTGCCAATGTGAGTCCTCTGTTCCAGAACTTGCATCCTGATATCATTCATTCTCCCTCTGTCTCTGTCTGTCTGTCTTTCTCTGTCACTCAGATGCTCTGAGGTGTATAAGATCATACATTCATCATCTCCAGAGCCTCTGTTCGCTATCAGGAGCTCCCTCTCTCTCTCTCTCTCTCTCACACACACACACACACACACACACACACACACACACACACGCAGAAACACACATTCACACACTCAAGCAGACAACACTTTTGTCCCCTCTTTTATCAAAAAATTGAGGGATTTGGTGGCTAAACGACCCAATGCACCCCTTGTCTCTCTCATCTCGATATCACATTCATTTCATGCTATCTTCTTCGTGGGCTTTGCCAGAGAGGCAACCATTACGCCTCAGTGTCTCTTCACTATGGCTGCGCTATCATATCAGCAGGGATAAATACAAAGGATGGGGTGCATGGCATTTCTAATTCCCTCCTGTTTCAGGTGAGCAAATGACAGGCATTACACCCTGCACTCTCCCTCTTTTCACAATAGGGAGAGATGGAAGCTGCTGAATATAATCATGCTTTTAAAAAAGGCAGAGATCACAGGGGTACTTGATGCCTTAATGTGTGGGGAGAGAGATGAAGACGTACTTGATCATTTACTGTGATGGCACAATGGCATTCAATTATATATACAGTGTATATACAGTAAGTGTCTGTGTGTGTGTGTGTCTATTGTATGTGTAGGGGATGAGTGTCAAAGGGAGAGAGGGAGGAAGAGTCTTCTCTCTAAGTGCTTCATTATTTCCTCTTTAAGATCTTCATCGCTACACTGAGACAGAGTTTATGAAGCTTGACTTTGTTTTTCTTTCCTCTCTCCCTCTTTTCTCTGTCTCCCCTCCTCCTTACATAATGCCAGGGGCCTTTGAGTCAACCTGCAGTGGGAAAGTGATCATTTATTAAATCTGCACAGACTTTTATTATCAACTAATTCTTCTGCCTCATCTCTATTCCTCTCTTTATCCTACTCTTTTCCTGCCCCCTCCACTTGTAATTAAACAGGGATTCCACCTGCAGCCAAACTTCACCACTCCAAATGAACAGAGAGAGGGAAATTAAAGTGATAGTCCAATCCTGCTTTACAGCCTGTAGGGCACACTGAACTTCTCTTATCTTTTCTCTTCTTCCCCCCGGCTAGCTTTGTCTTTTTCTCCTTCTCTGCTGCACTGCTGGCAGTGTATCATTACTATTGGTGGGGAAGCAGACTTTCATGTGAAATGATTCGCTTAAGTGTATGTAATGTAATGTAATGTAATGTAATCTAGTGTTATTTGGTCATTTTAATAACACATTGTAGGTTGGCAATGGTGTGCACGTGTTAAGATACAGTATAATGCTGCTTACAGTTGTTATCTCCAATTAAATACCCTCAAGTTTCACTGATGACTCCAAGCAAGTCAGCTACAATCATTAAGTCTGATACAGTGAAATAATTATTCACATACATGACAATGGAGACAAATCAGTTTCGACTTGCTGCCGTCATGACAGCATGTAATGGAAGCAGATCTGAAAACTTCAACCAATAACCAACCATACCATGGTGCAGAAAACCAAAAGGGAACTCCTTGTAATTATCTGCATTTATGAAAATGTTTTTCATCTAA